ATGAAGAGGCCAATATCTCGTTCCTCATTTGTATATATGGTACTTGTAATATAGAACTGAGTTAGAATTGCGTCGTTATCTGTCACGCCTGGAAAAGAAAAAAAATCCAGGTCTAAAGTTCTCGATGAGAATTCATGAGTCCTTCCAAACTGGCTACATAAATCCGTGGTTTCATATTTTCGTGCAGGGATTTGTGCAGTTGTTTGCTTCCTTAATTTTAATGACCTTTATTTGATAAGCTGCTTTGCTGGAGGATATTGTAGAATGTTTTATTCAACACAAACACACCTATGAAAGGATTTGTCTATGGCCCAGGGAGCTACTTAAACAAGGATTATGACCATATTTTAAAAAAGTTTAAAATCTTTACTTTAAACAACAAACTAAATGCATCATAAATAATCAAATAAACACCTACAACGCGTGAAACGGTGTCCTGATTTTTGCAGCCATGAACACGCAATTTATACAATAAGCGGATGAAGAAAATTTGATGTGATGGCCAGATTCTAGCCTACCAGTTATTTGGAAATATTGGCCAAAGGCAGACACCGGGTTTAATCAGGGATTGCAGCACACATATCTCCACTGGAAAGGTCAGTGCAGAACGCCCTCTCCTTGATGGAGGGGGCGGAGATTCCCAAAGCAACACCGCATCCCAGCTCCTGGGTATCGCATTGGCGGATTGCATAGCCTGCAGCACGGGCACAGAGGGGATTTCTGTGCACAGCCAGTGGTGTAGCCATTGAGTGTGCAGGCGGTGGACCTGCACTGGGACCCAGGGCAGGGTTGCATCCACTCACTGTTGGCGTCGTGGGTATCTGGACAACCCCAAAAATGTTTAGGTATGGATAAGAGGCACCCACAAAATATTGCGCCCCGAGTCGGAACACACACAAGTGGTCAACACACACACACACAGTCAGTACACATACAATCGACACGCTCACATTGACAGTCAGTACACACAACGACATTCAGACAGCACGCACGCACACCAAAAGGCCCACGCGCCAGGGGTTTCCCAGGAGCTGGGCAATCAAGAGGTGGGAAATTTGATGGGGCACGGGGGGAGGAGGAGAGGGTCCCAATTAATTCCAGGGTCTATGCCAACCACGCTAGGCTGCTGCTGCTGTGCTCAGCCACGGCTTTTTTCGTGGGGGCCGCGGTGTCGTCGAGAGGGCCCGAATCGCGTGCGGCGTGTTGCGGCCACGTACTCCTTAGAATATCGCTGTATGCACAGTTCTGTTGACAACCTCCGCGCTCTATTCACAGAATTCGCGCAGTCCCCGCGGAGCCTTCCTTGCTGTGTCCTTTCGACAAAGCCAGCAATTATCACAAGAGGGTTGGGAATATTGCACACGTATCACTCGTTCTCAGGTCTCGTGCCTTGTTCGACCATTAAACAATTCTCGCAATAATCTAAATTACTTCGCTTTATCCGATTTAATAATCTGGACGCATTTAATTGCAAGCGTGATCTTTTGAAGCCGCAGGACAGCTGTGTTTACAATCTACTGAACCATTTTTTAAATGAAAACTCGTGCTGTGCCAAGAGACTTTGTCGTGTAATTCTAGCATTGAAAGCCCTACCACCAAAACAGATGATAATTCCCACGTGATAAGATTCACAGAGCTGTGGACACTGCGTTGACGAATCTCTTCTGTTGACAGCGCTGTAATGGCTGTTATTCGTAAGACTAAAAAGTACAGCGATTCCTTTGAAATAACAATAAATCATTTCATCGACGCATCTCCATCGTATGGGACAAGAGGCCCACCTGTTTGTGTTCGAGACCAATTCGTGTGGCCCCCAGAAGTTTCGAATCAAATTCATAGCGTTATTATTACATTTGGACATTGATTCCATCGGGCTTAAAAAAGTAGCGTTTTTATATCATACCTAGCATATACTAAAGAAGTATGGGAATTATAAAAACTCACGCGGACGGTTTATTTAGACATTAAATTTGGAAGAAAAAATTAATGTCGCAATTCTGAAGAACCTATCTCAAGGACCCTGTTTTAGATTTATATCTTAATCATTTGCGCATTTTCCTTTGCACTGGAAAATATTGACTCGGCTGCCGCAACCCCCATTGTTTGATGCCAATCAGATGGAGTCTCGTCAGCACGTGGCCCCCGGCTAAAATTAAGCAGGACATATTTTTACCTTCATATGGATTTACAACTCAGAAAAAGCAGTGCCATCAATACAAATGCCCCCGATTGCTTTATTGCTGCATTGGGGACATATTCTTTTCGTATAAACGAGAAGCACCAAACTGTTTTCTTTGCTTTTTAACACGTAGGCTTCCGCGACCAATATTATCCATAATAAAGGTGTTTTGGGTTACAATAAAACATGTGTCGTTAAACCCGCCACCTTCAGTTATCCCTGAATGTGCGATATGCCGTTGTGTCACATACACATGAAATGTATTTAGCCACGTCTGAGAAAAATAAACTTTTAGTGTAAACCCCCCCCCCCCCCTTAAAATGTTCTTTACAAGGGCTATAAAATAATGCTACCCACACTTGCATCCACAATAGGGACATGTTCCTTGAGATTAAATCGTGCAGTAAGAGACACAGCATGAATCAAAGATCAAAGTACAGCCGTGCCTGTACGAAGAGTCCGCCTTTATTCCGGATGACTGATGCTGCTGCCCCGTCGCCCCGCTGTCTCCCCGTACTGCCACTGAGTGCTGCACCCGCGAGAAGACTGGGACCAGCCGAGCAGATTTGCAGATTTGCATCTCCCTAATCAGAAGCAGAAAAAAATCTGCTTTCGCATCGAGGGCCCGGTTAATTTGTTCGGGAAGAAAAATGGCTTTCACTGCCTTTAGGAGGTGGAAAAATGGCTGATTTAACTGATATTTTCCGCAGATGTGGCTTGTTTTTCTTCTGATAAATATCAGCAGAGACTGTCCCCTTTCCACCAACAAACGAATCAAAGGCCACAGGTAACACGTATCATGTGATGAACAGCGTTTTAGACGTGTATTTTCCAAAAGAAAAGGTATAAATGCAAATTGTCAAAGTGAGTTCAAGGTGCAGCCCTGCAATGTCTTACTCAACTGCGGGACCTCCACTCGAGGGAGCTATAGAGCCTTCTCAAGAGGGAATTTGGCCTACTCTTCCACCCTACATATTTTGCACGCATCATTTTTTCTCCCAATTGTTTTGTATTATTATTATTATGCTTAGGTGCACAAAGTGCTCACAGATCAGGCCTTGTAAACACTGTGCATGCTGCTGTCACGTGATGCACTGGTACCCTGCGAAGCAGCACCAGGGTGGCTCCCTCTACATTGACTGGCCGGTCAATCCCTCCATGTCAGAAAATCTCAATCACAATGCTCAGCTACGTCTGTATGGGGTAAAACAACCAACAACAACAATAAAACAACAAACACCGGCGAGACCGCGGTTATAAAAATCATGTTCAGTCCAAACTCCGGTTAACACACCTGAAATGTTTTATTAACCGCATTTGGAAATCCACCACTGTCGCTTATTGTAAATTAGGGGTTTCCCAAACTCCAGTGCTGGCGACCCAACCACATGTTTCACGCGATTACCAATTTACTCTCCATTCGATTACAAATGAACTCGTTTCACACTGCACGCACCCGATAATTGTTAAACAGGCTCCACGTGACACGCAAAGCAATTAACGCCATCTGAGTTAACAGTCGATTCGAATTAAGATTGCGATCTCAGTGTGCGTTCGAGTGTGTGTGGACACGTGTTCCAAACGAAGCAAATCGGGGTTAATCGCTTAGCACGTGGGGCGTGTTTGTATGTATGTTGAACTTCTTTCGCACCGTACGTGGTCAACCGTGTAAACGGTCGGGCACGTGCGGCATGAAACGAGTTAGTTTGTATTTGAATGTGGACTAAATTGGTAAAAAAAACGCGGAAAGACGTGTGGCTGTGGGTCACGAGGACTGGGTTTTTGGAAACCTTCCTGTAAATATGTTAATGAATGTCAAACGTCACTGACCAAGTGGCTAAAGTGTGAATAATTCACCACTCACAAAATGACCAAATGGCTTTGCTTGTGGCTTGCTAACATAACACCACCACCAAACGAACCCGTCAAGTGCGATACGTGTTAATCGTTTTACCCAGTGTTGTGCCAACAGTGTTATCTCTGTCATGTCGCGAGTCCAAGTGTCGATTCAGAACTCTGGCCGTGTAGTGGATCGCCCTGTGTGCTGGAGAAAGGCCTTGAAAGGTGATGTCCAATAAACTGAGAATGTACAAGCGTAATTTATCCTTTCTTTGCAGAGCGCCACGGTGACAAAATGTTCACTGCCTCACTTGGTATACATGAGGTCGTGGATTCCATCCCGACCCCTGTATGTTTGGAATGTGTGTGGTTCTTTCTTCCTGTGGTTGCGTGGATTTTTCTCTGGGTCCTCCGGATTTTCCCCTCTACCATTAGAAGCATGCGCGTTAAGAGTATTTGGCAGCAACAAATGTCCACGTGATAAAGCACTTTGTTGAGATTTCATTTATGGCCAGGTCGCTTCTGAAAAAGAGCTGTATAGCTCAGTGGGCCTTACCTATAGTTACAAAAATAATAGTTTAGCTTACTTTTATAGTATAGTTTTTAACTTTTGCTGTCCTTTAATCTCCCCACCCCCGCTATATCATTTTGTTGTTGTACGATCGCTATTCTGTTGTACGATTGTTAACTTTATATACTGATGAAACTTTATCGGTTTATGTTCCACCGTTGCCGAGCCAAGATTGGGCTGGGCACCCGTGAATAACAGCTTCATAGCTCATCGGGTTCCAGATAAAATAAAATGTTTATGTCTAAGCAACGTTATTTTATCCACATGTTAGGACCATTGCACTTTACCACGTGCACGGCCACAAACAAATATTCACCACTTATCAGTCAAACTAAGATTACGTTCTAAGAGCTGTGTAGTAAAACAAATACTTTATATTGACGTTTATTTTTTAATCCAGCCATTCCTCACACCAGTTGGGAGCATCAACTCGCTTCACTTAAGGACCTCTTTAATCACAATTGGCTGAAACCCAGACTCAAATCGCCGATCCTCAGCGGTGCCGGCACGGCAGCACAGCCCCAGAGCCTCCACTCGGTACCATCTTTTTTACAGACTCAAAGGCGGCAAAGGCTTGAGCTTCTGTGAATGTTTTCTCGGCGTCTATTTTTTAAAGCTATTTTACGGCTAAGCGTCGTGCAAGTCAAGTAGCCTCGCCGTGCCCGTCGCTGGGCCAGCCCAGCGGTCTCCCAGCACACTCGCTCGATCGCTCTCTCTCCTCACCCACCATCGCTCGCTACCGCTCCACATCTACAGATCTGCCTCGAGCAGAGCAGCGCCGCGGAGCGAGGCTCATCCACCCCACGCAGCCGCGGGGCGCCGCGCTTTTGGATCCGACGCCGTTTTGAAGTTAAAATAAACTTTCATGGTTTAAGAGTCTCAAACTTTTACCCCCAAATGCTTGTTGAAGCGCGCCTGCGTCGACTGAACTTCCAGATATCACCACCGCGTGAGATGAATGCGCCGAGCAGAGACGCAGCCGGAGGTAAGCGCGAATGTAAAACGCCGATTAATTATCAAAATAAAGCATCTTGATTCTTAGCCAGAAGACGACGAAGGGACTCGTTTTGAGCCACCCGCGCGTTGGCGATGCAAGGCCTCTTGGTCGCGCAGGTGTGTGGGGTAGGGAACTGCACCTGTGTAACATTTCACAGTGGCCTGTGCTTGTATCCGAACCGTTCCCCCAGCTCGAAATACCATTCCTACCTCGATGAGACCATTTCGTTAACCTCAACAGCACCCCCCCCCCCACGAGAGTCCTACCTGTTTCTTTGATCACCCGAGGACTGGAAATGAGAGGAAAAACAAGTGCCAATGATAGGAAGTTTTATTTAATAAAGCGGTGTTACAAACAGAGATGAGCTCTTTATGTCCACGCACATGCAAATGTGCGCTCTAATTTGTCACACAGCCTCATAATAAATGACTCCTTATTAAAATACGTATTTTACAAGACCTATTTTTAGACAGTAATGAGTAAAAATCTACCACCACGCTCACTGAACCAAACAATAACACATTTCAAAAATCCGTTGACAGAAAGTCACGCTAAGTATGCTATTTGCATAGTTCGCGTACGGTGCATATAGGGCTGTTTCTGCTGTAATTGGTAGCCAAATGTGCCATAAACACAGAGGCCTCTGTGATCCCATCGCTAACAATCTCTGTTTGGCCGGGATAGGGAGCAACCGCGTTTTCAGCCAAACAGTGACAAAAGCCATTACAGCTGCATTGCTGTGGCTTGGACATCAATTCCCCATCAGCAAATTGCTTTTGGGATTTGGCTGGTCACGAGTTCGTTAGCTTCCCAACAGGACCACCGCAGGATCTCGGGCCGAGAAAACCATTATTGCAACGGCAAGACCCTCGGTGGGACGACGAGGCTGCACAGCGCACGCCCGTGTGCGGGCAGGTGCATCGCGGGACAAGGATACAACCTCCGACCATCCACCTGCCCTGTCCCCCAACAAAAGTCGTGTCCACAAACGGGAAACTTACAGGAAACTGCAGAGAGAGAGACCAGCGCATCTGCAAAAATATCCATGCCTGCGCGTTTGATTGAAAAATGTTTTTTTACTGGGGGGGGGGGGGGGGATATCTCTCCTTCCCCGCTGCCAGCAGCCCATCATTCGATTCGTGACTTGTAGAGGCTGGATTTAAATGTCCCCTCCCTCCATGTGCTGTCTATGAATGGGAATCAATGATGCAAATTAAATTGTGGGCACCTGTGACTGCTCGCGATGGGTTTTTCCGAGGGTGTGAACAACATTCCGCGTGCCCTTCAGCGGACGCAGAATAATCCGAGTGGGGCCTCTTCTCGAGCGAGCCTCCCACCCAGCTTCTCTCGTTCTCATCTCCGCGCGCTTAAATCTCATCCCGAAAGCCTTTTCGCCCACATTGGTAATTTTACTCCGAGAGTTCCATCATCGTGATGAATGCCGTCTTCGCCAGAACGAACGTGAAACTGACTCGAGGATCCCGCCCCCCCACAACGCCGAACAAAATATGTAATATACATAGCTGAGTGCACTGAAGCAAACAAGCAACATGATGTGACCGCTAAGGGCTATTGTAAAATGTGCATTTATTTTCATGATAAATGCGTGTGTGAATGCGAACTGTTTCCCCATTCTATCCTTCCCCAGTAGTCATTTGCCATATCGTCTAGTTTGTCGCAATAATACATGCAAGCAACATAATTGAATATATGCGTATTGTTCTTCATGAGTTACAAACATCCCCAATGCTGGGGGCCGCAGAATAATAGTGAGATTTTCTGGATAGATAAATGGTATTAATCATAGTAACTTCCACTTATTAGGCGCCTTTCACAAAGGCTCAGGCACCGTGCGTGAAAAGGACGAAGATAATGGAGAGCCGTGTGGCAAAATAAGAGCCAGAGAAGAACGGCGATCAGAAGAAAGCTGTTTTAATAGGGACTTTAAAATATCAACACCGCCCGAGAGCTGATCTCTAACGGTAGGGAGTTCCACAACCAGGGAGGCACCAGTCTGGAGTTCCACAACCGGGGGGCACCAGTCGGGAGTTCTACAACCAGGGGGGGCACCAGTAGGGAGTTCCACAATCAGGGGGCACCAGTCGGGAGTTCTACAACCAGGGGGGCACCAGTAGGGAGTTCCACAACCAGGGGGCACCAGTCGGGAGTTCCACAACCGGGGGGCACCAGTCGGGAGTTCTACAACCAGGGGGGCACCAGTAGGGAGTTCCACAATCAGGGGGCACCAGTCGGGAGTTTCTCAACCAGCGGGCACCACAGTAAATGTCCGATAACACAGCCGATGAATAACGAATCATCAGCATCGTCAGCCACAGAAGCCAGCAATGGTCAGAGTGAATATATAATCAAGGAAAGCATCGCATGCAAAAGCCTATAAACACCTGAACGTAGGGTCCTGTGGTCTGCACGAGCCACCCAAATGCAAGCATTAAAAACAAAACACTCAGGCTTTCATCAAGATGACAACGAATGTAATTATTTACAAAATATCCACATGGTTACTGTTTGACTGTTTCAGAAAACGAGACGAAAGAACGGTGCAGTGCACTGGGCCAGCATGCTGATGACAAAAGCCGCCATCGTGATGCAAGACCTTAGCTGCACATGTAATTTTTTACTCAAGCAGATGGGCAAGTAAAGACCGAGGTTCACATCGTTGACGGTGTCGCTGTGCCAAGGTTGCCCATTTAGGCCGTGAATTTTGGCCAAAAGAAGGCAGCGACGGGGGAGGGTTTTCGTTCACGAGAAAAAAATGCCCGAATTCCTGCCCCCCCCCCCCAAAAAAGGGGCACTCGTGCCCAGACACTCAGATTAATGAAAAGCCTCGGAGCGAGGAATTAGCGGCGCTGCGTTGTGTGGTCCTGGCTACGGCGCTGCGTTGTGTGGTCCTGGCTACGGCTTCGCATGCGGCGATAGACTACGGGTGCTTAGCGCCAGAACCTCCTCAAGCCCCATCCCCCCCCACCCCCCCCCCCCCGCGTAAATGACAATGTTTTCATTGAACATCATCAACAAAAGCCGTGAAAGTAAAACAAAAAGCAAGCGTCTTGTTGTTGTTGTTGTTATGAAGGTGTTGTGTTGCCTATAGCTATATTCAAATGCAGACTGTTATAGAGGCCAAGAGATTATTCCAAATGTGAGATTGAACAGGTGCAAACATTCATTTCGCTGGACCACTGCTCGGAGGTGGCAAACCAGTGTCTTACTTTGAGATGGCTGAACATTGTAATGCTATGGGGGGGGGGGGGGGGCACCAAGAGCTGATTTATTACCCCACTAAAGAAACGACAACGGTCTCGGCATACCAAGTGATCGCACCCTCCATCCTGCGGCGATCTAAGCAGCTTGAGTGTGCCGAACGCATTAACAAGTGGTCGCCGCGCATGCAAATTTGCCCACCACGAATCCTAACCGCCGCGAAAACATTATCAGATCACTTTTTTTGTGCTAATAGCACGCGATCGCTGCTCTAATTCAACGCTGTCAAACGGCAGAAAAAAAAAACTAATTTCTTATAATAACGTCTGCCATTATTTATGTCATTTCCGCCCACAGTTTCAGGATTGCCGACTGCTCGACGCCCCTATAGTTTTACCAAGGTAGTGGAAAGAGACCCCAAGCAAACGAATACATGAAGCTCGAGAAATTAAAACTTGCAGTGGGAATCTTTTTTCGGATAAACCGCGGCGGCTGTTGTGGATTGCACGTTAAGAGTGGGGACCTTTCATGATTAGGTCTTCCTTTGCTGGTGAAGAACGCAGCAATATCTTCCAACAGGGATATATGCTCGACGGCGGTGAGAGCAATGACCTAATTTAAAGGAATCTTACAACGCCGATTTTTTTTTCTTTCTCTCAGATATTACAATACCACCCGCACACCACAACGGAGCTCAGGAATTCCAAGTGGAGAAAACACCTCGGCAAATGCGTCATACTAAACATCCCCCGTAACAGGGCAAAAAAAACCCCACGAAACAGCCACGCGAGGCCATTTCGAATGCAAACAGAACCATGAAAATGTAATGAGGGCGGGCGATGTAGCAGCCGTGCAGCGTTCAGGTGCTGCAACGAGACGGAGGTCAGAGAAGCAGTTTTCCTTCATAAATATGTTTTCCCCTCAAACCCAAGACTCGTTAAATATTTAAAGGATTTTGTATTCAGGGAGAAACAACCACAACCCCACCCCCCCCCACCCCCCCCCCGTGTCAATTCCGCAGCGTAGATAATCTCCGAAATTGAGAGCTCATTGATCAAACCAAGCCCCCTCATCAACTCTGACCCCAAAGCCACGTGTTAAGCATTTATTATTTAACTTTCAATTAAATGTTATACATATGTATATTTTAAAAAAAGCTATTTTGGCTGTGCGGGGAAAAACCGTATCCAACATGGATTTCCATTTTCAATCAAATTTGGTGGGACACAAACAATAACAGCTGCCTGTACAAAACAAAACACGTTATTTGGTGATACTGCATTTGCAGTGGTGTACCAAACACAAATAAGAAAAAACCGCCAACACGTTCACCAATAACACTGTGGCCTGAAGAGAAAAAATATATAGAATAGTAGGTGACGTTTCGGGCAATGGCTCTTCTTCACAGCAGCAAGGTAAAGGGTGTACAGTTGTTATGAAGATGGGCCATTGCCAAAAAGTCGCCTTATGCTATACTTTTACTTTTAAGGCCACTGCGTTATTGACCAATGTGTTGAGTACTTCTCGTTTTGACAATTGTACACACTAGATGGGAGCGAAACGCAGATATCTATTTGCACACTTTGTGGGGGCACTTTTGAGCAGCGGTGGGACTGCGGGCGGTGAGGGGTGGAGGGGCATTTTTCCAGTCGTTGCAGGAAAGGTGTAAGAACCCCCGCTTACGACTCCTCTCTGTCTCTCTCTGTGTGTGTCTGTGTGTTTGTTTGTGTGTGTATGTCTGTGTGTGTCTGTGTGTAGGCGCGAGACGAGAGGTGACAAACGTCGCACGCTCGTGTGCAGATGCGGGGAGCTCGCCGCCGTGAATGCGATGCGCCTTTAAGGTGTTCCGCAACGGACTTGATTTCTGCGAGGGATTCCAAAATGTTGCACGGGATGTTTAGGATTTTTGCCATAAGAGTCCTGCGTGTTTCCATTGTTAATTTGATGCTCATTGTATTGCTCATCCGCTGCATAATGTCACGGGGGGAACGTGTATTTACAGCATCGCAGGCCTTACCATTCGTTCGGAGTCAAGGTCCTTGTGACATAATCTAATAATCAGGGCCGGCTGAAGCAATATCGCAGCGCTCCCTGGAAAGAAATTTCAGGGCCCCCACTTGGGGAGGTGGCATGGAATTAGATTGTATTATATATCGCCTCTTCGGGGTTGTAACATTTGCAATTGTGCACTTGCATGCGCTGTGCATTTACCACTGCCCATTACCCCAAGGATTAATCATGTTCAAATACGCAATGCTTCTGCAAGCGATGCAAATGAGCGTTGGCTTTGTCTGAAAGCTCTGAGCCATAGATTTCCAGACGTCGGGCACACTCTCCTGCAACCACCGCACATCCGCCACGCATCGCACACCCACCGTTGCCTACAATCACAAACACACCCCATACACTGCACATCCACCGCACGCTCCCATCACACACAACGCACACGCACTGCACACAGTCACTGCACACACTCGCCCCACACTCACCAGACACTCACCACACACCCACCGGACACCCACCACACACTCACCGGACACCCCCACCACACACCCACTGCACACACCTGCCACACGCAGACACGCCCACACAGACATCCACCGCACAAACGTTCTGCACACCGCACCGCGCAAATGGACAGAATGTGATCCCCGCACGAGTGACGAGCAAATGAACTCGCTGACACCGACATGTAAAGTGGACGCAGCGCTCGCACTCCTCCCACGGCGGTGAGAGAGATGGAGAGATGCATGCACATTGGAACTTATTTCGCACCGTACGTAGCCAACCGTGTTGATTGCAGGGGAGATGGGTGAAGAGCAATCGCCTGCCCTGGCAGACAAACGTACCGAGGGAGCTTGCAGAAACAAAAGTGAGAGTGGATCTGAGAAGGTCTTTTTTCACGGTGCGCGCCCTTTATGCCAGCGTAAATATATTCTTCACGTGACAATGTGCGCAAGAAATCGGCCAATCTGCCCTCTCAGCAATGCTAGAATTATTTTGGACACGGAAGCAGCACACACAGCATTAGGGTAATGTGCAGAGGGCTGGACAATTATGATGGCTTTTAGGCACCCCCCCCTCTCTCTCCCCCCCCCCCCACTTCAACAACGTCCCCTACAGCTGACTAACTGTGTTAGGTCCCGGGGACAACCTCGTCTAAACGTACGTACATCATAGACCCAAACCGTCGGCTGGTGTCATTGCTACCACCGCTGTACCCGTTCTATTCCCACAGGACCATATGCAGGCTTGAGTGCCGAACGCTCACAGGGCTAACCTCGTGTGCAGTATAACTGCGTTCTTCTCGTGATCCTATGCATAGAATGAACACTTCGATTTGTTTTGTCAATTAAGCGTTAAAAGGAGACCACATTTCTTGAGCACGTAGCTTTGTGGTCGCTTCCTCTTGCTCTAACTCTGGGCTGGACCAAGGACCGCGCTGATGGAGGGCCTGGGAGCTTTACACAGCCTCGTTAATATCTTCCTGAAGCCGGAGTTTGCTCCTGATACGTTACCGAGCGGTCCATTAAATTCCTAAGGGAAGAGCTTGGACCGAGGAGGCAACTGAGTCTAATTTAACTGGCACATTCCCACATGTCCCTGATGTTCAATATTATGCTCTCACTGCACCGGGTGGTCTATAGAGGATAGCGCAGAGAGCAATCTGCGAGCCCAGAGTTTCATATCACCTCATTCCATCCGTCTTTTGTTCTGAGCCTCCTAATATTTTGCTCTCCAACATTTGCTTGATTTTTTTCGTTAAAGTTTCACAAAATCAATGGCTTCTTTAGAAATTGTAAATTCGTGGCAATCTTGTGGCCGAGCTCACCACTTCCATTCTGAGACCAGCTTAAAAAGTGAGCCAACTTTCGGGGAGATATGAGCGCTTATATGGATTTCTATCCGCTCAAGATGTTCCAAAAATCCCACCCCTAACTCATGCCACCCCAACCCCCAACCCCTTCTGCGTTGGGCAGCCATAATGGCCTACTTCGCATTAAGCGTGCAATCGTCTGCAGTAACAATCATTATAAAGCACCAGTCCATTACACCGAAGTAACCAGTTTTATTATCGTGTTGTGACGCAACAATGTAATTTATGACATCTTTCCAATCGTCATTAGGATGGCAATTGGCTGTACTTATTTAATTAATTAATACACCGTAGCGTAATCATTTATTTATTACTATCCATATGGGCCGGGCGTAACATGCAGATGGCGTTCGGTTGGGCTTCTTTGCTGCGTAAATGCACGGTGAGGCCGTGGCGCGACTCCTCTATCGATTAAGAGAGTAATCGTGGCAGAAATGCCTACATGTAAATATAATGTGTAAGGGCTTTGCCTTTGAGTGATTTAAAAAAGACGCAACTGTTCATTGTGATTACTGTGCAATTGGGCCAACAATCTCGGCCACACACTGGCTGTGGCAGTAATCACAATCCAATTTAGCACGACAATTTTCAGAATTAAATGCCCTGTAATTGAATGTTAAACTCGAAATACAACATGGTAATTGCTGCTTGTGGAACAAAAAAAATGTTCCCCCTAGATAAGGTTACGAGTTTGGGTCTCCGACGTAGCTCACAGGAGGATGTGCCATCGGGCCATTGGTAGAGAGGGCCCATAACTACCACGGGTGTGTCCACTGGCCCAGCCAGGACATATATTGGCCAAGGCAGCCGACTATTTTTCGTCACACTCAGGCAGCAGGTATCGCACGAGTGCAAGGGACACATGTCCGATAGGCGGGACGTCGGTGTCAACTGATGGTCCTTCGCGTCGTTTGCCACGATGCTCATGGGCATTTGACATTATTGTACCACCACATGATTCAAAATAGTCACCCGATATCTGTTTAATAGTCATCCTTTTTGCTGCTTCATGTTCCTTGAAAATTCATTCTAAATGTGCTATGATCGGTCTAAATATAATCTTCCCGAACCAACTTATGCTGTCGGGAGCTTATTATATAATTATATTCGCCTAATTGCTGTACTTTGTAGTATTTATTTTGGCTTTCGGCATTTCGGTGACCCGGGTAACTCTTGCAAAATGAGACTATCCTGGTGCCTTGAATTATCACCTGGTTGAAGAAAAACAAACACAACGTTTTTAAATATTCCACACTGCTGCTGCTACCGGTATTTAACCCACGCAGCCTCACAAAGTGCAGCGGCAGACTCCATGGCGAGAGCCACTCCTCGTTGCCGGATTATCCTCTTAGCAAAAGTAGCTACATAAGTAGTAGCTACAGGCCCCGCACTTTCAAGGGCCCCGCGCTAAATGCTTTCAAGCTATCAATTCTGGCTCAGTGATTCTGCACTTGCTCTATTACATTAGTACTATACTGCCTTCAAATTTTATGAACGATTGGGTGTTTAAGGTTAGCGATTTGTCGTATTATCCGGCTGTATAGCACCTGATGAAGGCCGCTTGTGTTGTGGCCGAAACGTCGTGAATTTTGTTATTTTATTTTTTTACCTACGTGACTTTACCCAATAGAACCAAAGAGTATTAAAAATTCGTGTTTTAATATTTGTATTTTTTATATATATTTTTTTTAATTTATGGCCCCTTTATAACATATGCTAAGAGGCCCCGCACGAGCTTAATCCGGCACTGCCCCACCTGCACTCCGGTGGCACGGTGAGCATTGACCTAATTGGCTGCAATCAGTAGCACGCTGTGTCGGGCTGCTTCCTGATGTTACCTTCATTAATATCAATTACTTCACCATCCCATGCCCTTCTCACCCCCCCATCCCCCCCACCCGCCCCGTGTTGGACCAGTAAAAAAAACAAACCTCCCAACAATATCCTTTGCAGAATTGCACGCCCGACATCATTTTATTTTGACACAAGCAAATAGTCTAGCGGGAGAACCACGACTAATATGAGTCACAAAAGCCACCCAGGGTTGCAGACTCACAACGATCCTATCTCGTGTTATAAAGCCGCCGCTCCTGCGAAGCGTCTCCAATCGTCGCGGGACAACGCGGAGTGCTGAAACTCGTTTCATAACGTCAACATATACATCACTGCTCTCGGTGTTGACCTCAAGGAGTTACGTAACGTAGTCAAGCGAAATAATTAAACACTCGCGTGCGTCAGGGGCCGTCCATAAATGACGTCACGCACCTGGGGGTGGGGGGGAGGGGTCAGACATTTGTGACGATGTGTGACGATGGGGAGTGAGAAATGTGACGTCACATCAAAATGCGCAACTTTATAAATAAATATAGACAACACGTTCTACTTAATGAAATAGACTTTTTGATAAACATCAGAGTGCAGCGCCACATTAAATACGCGCTACAATGACAATAGTTCAAAGCGATTTGAAGCATGTTTTATTTTGGGGGGGGGTGGGTGGAGGGAGAACTTGTGACGAGGGGGGGGGGGGGTCAAAAAATCGTTCACAATCGCGTGACGTCATTTATGGACGGCTCCGACCACCCCAACAACACTCGCCGGCCCTGTCGATGGAAGCGGTCGGCTGCCGATTTTGTAAAAACCTTCCCCCCTATGCGAAGTGTCCTAGCTAATCACACATTTAAAACCGGAGACATTTACGCAATTTATCCATAGAAAAATCGGTGTGCGGTGAACGAGTTTAATAATTGGGCAGCAGTCTACGCCTTAAATCCGCGGGGTTGGCAAGTTCGAATCGGCAGACGTTTCAGCGCCTGGCGACGGAACATTTAAATACAAATATACATAAAACCATAGCCGGTAAAAAAACACAAATACGTTTTTAAAATATACATATGAAAGCGGCTGACAACAGTCTTTTAACCAAACACAGACATGTTTACACAGACATGTTTACTTCTTGAG